TTCCATTCTATCTTTTAACCTTTACAAAAAAAGAAAACATAATGAAAATGATATATTGCTTTGTTTTTAAATGTTAATTTTACTGATTTAAATCAGCTCCACAATCACAACATAAATTTTTGAATGTTATCGTATGAAGACATTCTTCATATTCCAAAATAATCGAACTAAATTATTAGAAAAAAATATTTTCAAGAATAATAACACCAAAGAAAATTTACCCATATGATAAAGTATCCCATTCATGAATATATAATTTTGTTACTGTTCCCAATACAGTTGATAAAAATGGTTCCTTTTTGCCATCTATACGTTACATAAATAAAAAAAAGAAAATTTTTGCTATAACCGAATAAGTGAACTACTTCGAATTAATTTTATCCCTTATCGATTTACTATTCTTCTTTTTGATAAAGGAATCTTATTCACGTTAGAATTCAGAGGAGTTCACTATACCCGGATGATCAGTATCGACCATTGTAAATATCGTTTCATTTTTTGTTAATCGGTGATTTTCTTTAGCAAATACTTTTGTTACTTGAACCGATTTATTTAAAGAAAATTTAATTTTTTTTGTATTGTTATTATTATTGTTATTGTTTCCAACATTTGTACTTCCGTTTTTGCTCATTGTATACAAGAAAATATTTGAATAATTATCTGCAATAATAAAATCGATGTTTAAGCACCATGAAAACTTCGTTTTTATTAATTATTATTAAAGCATATGCATATCAAGCAAAGAATAGAAAAAGAAAACAGATATAGGAAGAAAGAAAAAAAGAAAAGAAACAAAATGAATAATCAAGCAACAATGTTTTATAATTGACAATGATAAATCTGCAATCAGAACGAGTACATCATTCATTAAAAAGAAAAAGAGAAAAGACATAAATAAATAATGTTGTTCTTCATTAAAAGATATCTAAATCTGATTTTTGTTTTTGTTGATTGCATATATGCTTGTTTTAAGGAAGACAGACAATAGTGTATAAAACAAAATGATTAAATAATAAAAAAAAAGAAGGAAGAAGGGTGACTAGAGAAAAAAAGAGAAAGGGATTTATCTGCTGGATATGTCGACTACTTGTAAAAAAAAATAAAGAAACTAATTTGATTCTCTGAAGATAAAAAAGAAAAAGTTAAACAAAAATGTTTGTTGCAAGAGGTTTTTTCGGTGCTTGTTTTTGTTGTTGTTGTTGACCAAGAGAAAATGCATTTTGTTTTTCAAGATCACGAGGTGGATTCTTATGTTTTGACCACGCATGAAAACATTTACGAAATTCAATTGGCTCTGAATTTTTAACAGTTAAACGTAATTTACGTGGTCGATCAGGTTCACGTGTGCGTAAATGTTGAATATAAAGCTAAACATAAAAATAAAACATAAGGCTTCTCTATCTATAGTAAACAATTTACATACTTCAGCACTTTTAGCTGCAAATTTAACTTCAATAATACTAGCTGTTGGTCCTTTCCATAGAAAAACATATGTTCCAGTATCTAATAACATACAATCATCATCAAGTAAATCATCCTAAAATTAATTATAAATATTTTAGAATAAAATAAATTTTTCAAAAAAAATTTTACTTGACAAAAATCTGCATATTTTTCAGTAACAACAAAATATCCATTTTCATTCGAACATTTAAATAAACGCATATAACGCATATAATCTGCTGTCTAAAATCATATAAAATATAAAAATGAAAATAAAAATGATTCCACATACTGTATCATATGCTAATCGATCACCTAAACCAACCCAAAAGAAATTTTCCGGTTCATTACCTTCATTAATTACTTGAATTGTATATGTATCCTATTAAAACATCATTTAATAAAATAAATGTTTATGTAGTTTTTTTGTTTCTTACATTATACATTTCATTGGCAATTTCTTGTACGAGTAAAGCATCATCAGGATGAACATTATTGCCAACCCACACATACACAATTCCAATAATATCCCCTGAATCAAGTGGTACAGTAACAATATAACTATTAAAAAGAAAAAAAGAAGTTTTTTTTATTTAATTAAAATATTTTTTTAATTTACCAAAATTCTGAACATAAATTTGCTGATGTTGCTTCAACTTGAATACAACGCGTCATGATTGTTGAATAACACCAACGTATATGATACATTTGTGTATGTGTTAAACGTTGTATAGGCATTTGTATACGTTGAGCTGTTGTACGACGTTTACCATTATGTATAACAAATTTTCGATTAAAATGTGCCATAAATCTTTGATTTTCTTGCTGTTGAATTAATTGAACAATTTCAAAATCTCCAAGTACATCAATTAATTCTTGTTTGAAACTATAACACAGTATACACATATAGATTATTTTTAATTTTAAATCAAGAAATATACGTGTAATTAAATGATAACCAAGCTGTATTATTTGCACTTCTTCCTTGCCAAAAATAGACAATACGTTCAGTATCAGAATCTTTTATTTCATCTTCAAGTTCACTTGTATCGATACTTTCATCTTCACTTGGTAATAAATATCGAGCAACAAATAAATATGAATCTTGTGAATAAAATTGTCCTTAAAGAAATAGAGTTTTTTTTTCAGAAAAGATAAGAATTATATTTGAATTACCTCGTTCATCATCAGGTAATTTAACAAATTTCTTATTTTCATAAACAAACATAGAAAATGGTTGAAGTAAAAATATATTCCAATCTTCTAAAGCTTCCTGAGCTGCTGTACGTGATTGCCATGGAGGACGATTTTTAAATAAAGCTGTTAGATTTGTTTTCATTTCATTTTCTTGAAGAATTTTCTATAAAACAAAAAAGAAATGAATGCTATTTTCTTATATAAGAATATCATCAATACAAACCTTCATATCAGCACCTTTTCTTGTTACATTCTCTGCTGTACGAGTAAAATCGACAGCTAATACATCATCCCAAGCATCAAATTTTGATTTAAATACTTGTGTTTCGACTCTAAAAACAGTTGTTTAAATTTAATATTAATAGAATAAAATGATCTTAAACATACCCTTCAAGTGTTTTTGTAATAGATGCATGAGCTGGTCGTTTAATCATTGCTAATAATTCAACTGCTAAACGTGTTGCTGCCATTCGAACAAGTCGTGCTGATTTTTTTCCAATCCTAAATATACAATTTTTCGTTTTATTAAATATTATTTTACTCATTTTTACCAAACAAATAGTTCTGTATAGCAATCAAGAATATATATATTTCTTGTATGAAGTAATTCTTTCTTAAGAGCACCACCTGGTTCAAGTTCAACTAGAAGAAAAACAAATAGAAATAATATTTAAATATAATTAACTAACCTTGAGGTAATTCAATAAATTCTTGTCCAAGATCAACTTTATAAAGAATAGATCTCGATGGTATAAAATCATCTGGAACACTATTGACTAATTGATAATTAGCTGGTTTACCACCTAATTCTTTCCAAAATGCATCTGTTTCATCACCTTGATTTATTTGTATTAATTCACTAAGACCTTTTCTTTCACTTTTATTAATTTTCTCAACAAACAATCTAAATTAGATCAATATGCAATTTTCATTTGACAAAATCTTAAATCAATTATTTCCTACCTTGTTTTAGCTTTTGTCATATTATGACATTTTTTTCCAGTCCATATATAAATTTTTGGTCCAATATCAAGAAAAAGTACATAACGAGGATCAAGAGATGTTGCAGATACTGCTACAAGTTCAACATGTAATTTTTGAGTACCACTTGCACGATAGAAACGTGTTGGATGTTCCTAATAAAATATTATTAATATTAAATTTAAATATTAAAATAAAATTGAAATATTCTTACAATATCTCGTACAACCCAAAATCCAGTTTCTGTTCTAGCACCATCAATAACACGTAAATGATTATTAAATAAAGCTAAGAATTCTTCTGATTCATCTGTTTGTTCTTCACGTTGAGTTCGACATGATGCGCCAAGCATATTACGTAGGTTAACTGCATGCATAGCTGCACATGCTTGTTTATCCAACTAAATATTTCAAAAACAAAAATTTTCAAAAAATTTTTATTCATTTATTGAAATGTTTACCGTTGCATCTTTTCCAATCCAAAAATATATATTCCAATCCATAGTTCCTGATAATTCAACCATAGAATGTAATACAATATAACAATCACCTGTATAAAATGTTCCATTTAATTGACGTTCTAATTGTTTTGGAAGAAAATTTTCAATTTCCCAACATGTTATACCAGCTATATGACCAACAGCTTCATCAAAAAATTCAGTATAATTTAATTGTGGTCGTTCAATTTGTTCATCCCAACGACGACCAGCAATTTCTTCATCATCATTATAATGTCCATTATTCATCATATTAGAATCAAGTGCATGTTTACGTTTAGCTGTTTCACGCATACCTCGTAAAACAGTTTCCGACGAGCCACCACTTCCTACTGGATTTCGTTGTTCAGGTTTATTTAAACGACGAATACGTGCTGCACGTTTCTGTTGCATATCTGTGTTAGCAACCGGTTGTTCTGGTGCAACTTGACCAGCTAATTTTAATTGATTAGCAAGAGAAAAATCAATATTATAAAATGCTGGACCAGAACCTTTTTGACATTCTTTAGGTTTTGGTGGCATAACAAAATCCGGATTATCACTAACATCAAGTTCCTAAATAGAGATTTGGATGTAATTGATAATCCAATCATTTTATTAATCTGGTATTATTTTGCATTACTTTTCATATACTTTAATATCCTTCATTATTAAGAAGCGTGAAAGGTGATAGAATAAGTGTCTCTGACGTATGTATACAGTTTGTCAAACATCAAAATCAGTTATTTTTATTCTTTTGATAATGTCAAAAAATACTAATTAAATGAGCTTTCCTTAACCTTCAAGTGTCTAGACACTTAGTGTATATACAAGGGTCATTTTAACGGATATTTTGAAAAGAAAAAATATCACTGTAGTTGAAGGTCTTTCTGTTTCACTATCTGAACTCAAAATAAAAACTTGATAGAAAATTTTTAAATGCTTACTTTTAATTGTAAAAAATGAATGGCTTCCGGTAATGTTAATAATCGATTTTTATTTAAATTCAATACTTTTAAACTTCCTAATCGACAAAGTGCATCTGGTATTGTTTCTAAATTATTATCAGCAGCACTAAATACTTCAAGTTGTTCAAGATTAAATATTCCTCTTGGTAAACCATGTAAATTAATTTGATTGCTATTTAAATAAAGACGTCGTAATTTTGTACAACGCATTAATTGTTGAGGAAGACTTTTAAGTTTATTTCGACATATATGAAGAATTTCAAGTTGAGGCCAACCATCTATTATAGAAGAAAATTTTATATTCAATTAATTCAAATATTTCATTCTAACCTGATTGACCAGTTAATTCAATTATTTGATTATCATTTAAATTCAATCGTTTAAGTGCTTTTAATTTATATACAACATCCGGTACGGCCGGAAGATCATTTGCTGATAAATCAAGATCTAATTAATTAATTAAATAAGATTTTTTGATATGTATATAAAAATAATATCATACCAGAAAGATTTGGTAACTGTTCAAGTATGGCTGGAACATTATTTAATGTTCTTTTTGTATTACTC